TTAGGACATGGTGCTACAGGCCTGTAGTCCCAGCTACCCAGGGGGGGTGAGGCAAGAGAATTGACTGAATCTGGGAGGCAGAGGTTGCAGTGAGCCGAGATTGAACCACTGCACTCCAGCCTGGGCGACAGAGCAAGACTCTGTCTCAAAAAATAAATAAAATAACTAGTAACAATAAAATACAGATGAAAATATATACCACACTTTAGCATTTAGGTTAATATCCAATGTTGGCAGTATTCAGGAAAAAAGACGCTGTCAACACTTAGGGAGTGTGCAAAATGGTACACAACCTGTTTTAGGGCAATTTAGTATTTTGTATCAAAACCTTTAAAACAATGCATCAATCTTAATAAACAGCAATTCAAACTTCTAAAGCTTTATTATTCTAATAACGAAAAATGAAAGCAAAGATATAACTATAACCATATTATTATAGTATTAATACTAGCTAGCAACTTTAACTGTCTTGACAATATGATCAAGTATCATATAGTCAACCTATAGAGCCCATTAAAGTCTACAATTTGACCAAGAGATAGGTTATGAAAGAACATAAGATATCAAAAGATAATCACAGTTTAACTCCAAATTTAAAAGGCAATCATAGAACATTACAGATACATATAAACAAGAATACTGCATGTTCCTATACTAAAGAGTTATCAATGGTGACAGATGACAGATAAAATGAGTATTTATTTTCTTTCTGCTTTTTTGCATTTCTCAATTTCTGCAACGAAATATATTAACTTTATTTTTTAAGTGCTTTAAAAAATACACAGTTCTAACAGTAGAAGGAATGCACAAAATTAAAACAGTGGATATGTGGAATTATGTGATTTTCTTTTTCTTCTAAATTTTCTCTTTGAATGACTTTAAGATAAAATTCACCATTTTCAAGTGTATAATTCAGTGGTTTTTAGTATATTCCCAATGTTGTGAAGTTATCAGTGGTTAAGTTACATCTATTATTAAAAGCAAAATAAAAACACAGAGCTCAAGGAAAAATTTTAAAATCATTAACTCAAAACATTTCAAGGAGCCAACATCTTAATAATACCACAAAAATGCTCATAGGCCTACATACAAAATGAGCCAATATTATTTTTGAATTTTTTCAAATAACCTAGTAAACTGATATAGATATTATTCTATCAATTCAAACATCAACAGGTAGTGGGGGGAAATGACAACTAGGATAGTCAAAGTATATCCAATCGCTAACTAAACACGTCCTAAACTTTCTCTGTTAAGTTATATACAAAAAAAAATTATGATAAAATCTGAATCCCAAAAAATGGCTAAACCAACATGCTCTAAGCTCTCTCCCACTGAAAAAAAAAAAAAAAAAGGAAATGCCAACCTGCAACTAAAGACATGTAGCATACGTCAAATATATTACTGACATATCATTAAATTTTTAAAATTCTATATCACAAAAATTTTGCAAGTTCAAGATTACAGAAATGACTGAATTTTGGATTCTCTCTTCCTAGAATTCAGAATAATAGGTTTAATACTACCTGTTTTAAAAAATGTTTCAAATTAGATAAAGCAATCTACAGTCTTCTGAGTTCTGCCTCCTTGAAAATTTCTAGTAAAAACAGAGTATTACAATTAAAATTTTATTCTCTATCATAGTTAAGTCTAATTAGGGAGCACACTAATGACAATCAAGTTCCAAGCCAAACAGGTTAGACAACTTCACTGAATAGAAACCTACATATCTTTATTATGTGATGTGCCTAAATTTTTAAAGATTCAAAATCAAGAATTCTAATCTCCCCATCAAATTGCCAAGCAGGGTCTCCAAAATCCTGGATAGTCTACCTTTCCGGCCTTATTTCTAAGGGTAAAGTTAAATCTTAGGGATCAGATCCTACAGTCAGTGTGCTGTGAGAAAATCTTTAAAAATTACTTATATCATCCAAAAAGCACAATTACATACAAGCTAACAACGTATCTTCCTCCTGCACTAAAACAGATAACTGTCTCTTTGAGTACATAAAAAGTGACTGGTTTGTCTTTAGGTGCCCTGTTGTCACCAGACTTTCAGCAAAGTGAGATGTTCACACTATCAAACTATGTGGAAGCTGATAATGGCTAGGGGAACAGCAAATGTACCTCTCCCACTTCACACCCACTCTAGGCAAGATGCTCATTCCAGTGGACTAACAGGAAAAATTACTAGTACTATTTAGGTTCTCTAGTTCTCATTCTCCTTCATTCTCTCTTTCATTTTTTTAGGGAAAAAAGAACATCTAGTCGAATTCATCTAAGTTCAAGGCATATTGGACATACTCTATTATAAACACTGCACTATACCCAGTATCCCCAAAGGAGCCTCTGCATGGTGGTTAAGAACATACCACAGACTGGGTTTGGTTCTGCCATCTGCTAGTAATGTAACCATGGGAAAGTAACCTAATCTCCGTATGTCTCAGTTTCTTCATCTCCAAAATGGGATAACAATAGCTACTTCATAGGACTGTTATTAAGAATTGTCAGTTAGTAGATAATGCATATAAAGTACTTAAAACATTGCCTGGCACATAAAAAGTTATGTAAATGTTGGCTATTTTTCCCCCAACTGGACTGCTCCCTCAATCTTGGCTCCAATTCTATCCTTCAAAAATCTGTCCTAATGCCTCCCTTTTCAAAATAAAGCAATAATAAATCTCTAACCAAAGGCAAACTCTCCTATACCCTTAAACTTCTATGGCTCTTAACTTTTGTATGATTCTACTGACTCATATTTTTATGTGGTTTATCTTGTCATATAAATCAGGAGCTCCTTTAAGAGAGAAAATATGGGAATATACAGCATGCCTCTTTGATACAAATAAGTCACTCAAGTAACTACTCAGTAAATATTGCTTATGAAGCAAGATTATTAGATAAAGGTTTTCCAGCAAAGTACAAAGAGTTTCATTAAAAAAAAATCTGTTATAGATTCTCAGTTGATATCAACGTGTAAGTTGTAAACAAAGAGTTGTAATGTGGGAGCCAAATTTATTCTGAGTTTAGATCTCAAAAATGAGGATTTAGCTGATAAGGAATAGCGTGAAGTTTTTAAGTCAGGAATATTAAAGCAAGGTTAGTTTTAACTTTCTATGATTTGCAAATGACGCTGTTAGATTAGCCTAAAACCTATAAAATAAATCAACGTATTAGATACTTAAAAAGTGACTATGTGTTAGCCACTACAACTATATAGATAAAAAGATTTAATATCTGTACTCAACACATCTATTCAAATGTAGTTAATTAAACAATGTTCAAGCCTCAGTGGGAAAACAGAGTAGAGATATTAACACTTGAAAGTAAGGATATTAACACCTACTTTTCTTTAGCCTCAGCTGAAGTCTTATCATTAGGAAGAGAAAAAAGAAAAGATGAATTTCACAAAGGGATTAATTAGAAAAGCTAGTAAGTAACGTACATGTAGAGATTAAATATTTCCTCTAAAAATCAAAATCAGATGTGTATTCCATTTTTTTTCCATTTGGAAAAATGCCACAAAGATTTTAAATCAACTCTCTGTCCTTGATCACCAGACATTATCCCACTAAGTATATGTTCAAAGAGTTATTCTTTAAACTAAAATTCTAATGTCAAAAGAAATTTTTTAAATTGCTACAGTTCTCCTAATGAACCTACGAGGTTTTCTCGTAAGTGAAAAATATTTGTCTACAGTTCTTCACTTAAGATTATTACTATTACATATGTAAAGGGAAGATTCAGTGTTTCCTCATATAATGATGATGTTACCAAACTGCAAAAGAAAAGGTATGCTCTGCATTATTTTATCCCTCTATCTAGACCCACCTCTACTCCATAGCAGCAGTTTGCAAGCTAGATATACTATACTTCTACTTAACAGGAGATACATAGACGAGAAAACCAACTCTATAATAAAGTATGAAATTTGCAAATTTTGTACCATGTTTTAACTGTGAACTATTACAACGTATACAACTTCCAAACAGCCACAAACTGACCAACAGGTAAAATATTGCAGCCAATAAATAAAATATTCTACCTCCCAATAAGGAGTATTTCACAGCTAGTTCAATTAACCTAATTCGGTGCCAAAATAAAAACACCAAACATTAAAATATAATTCACACAACTGTGTACTACCTAAAAAGTCCAGCATCAACTCAATTTTCTCCATTAAGGATAGATTAATCCACTACCCTGCAATTCACCTTCTTAAAACAAGTAGTAGAGAAATACAACAAAGTTGCACTACACAATATTCATAACTTAGGTTCTAAAGTCAGCTTATATGAGGTGAAAATACTGTATAGTTATTTAAGAATAAGACTGTCATTGAAGATTACTACTAATCTTACATATGGTAAAGGCACAGTATGTTTCTTCATATATAATAATGGGATGTTACCAACCTACAGTCAAAATTATCCTTAACAGTATCTTCAAATGGACTACAGGCAGGGTAAGATATTCATGGGATAAAACACAAAAGAAAACTGAGACTGAATTAGAGAAGGAGGACAGTCATGTTTTACTCACTCCAGTGCTTACATTCATTATGATTCAATAACTGCATTATTATGATCCTCTATCCCAACTTTCTTTTCAAAATTCAGAGCACAATATGTTAAATGCTTATATGATACTCCACTATAGCATGTAAGCCAGAAAACAAAACTATACTGTAGTAATAAGTAACCACCAGATGCTATTTTCTTTTGTAGCACTATCAATTGAAGATTACTTCCCTAGTGTTCCACTCCAACACTACTATCTACCACTTCTCAACTTTTAGTTTCTGTCTTAAAAAAGACACAAGAAGACATAAATCCCGTTATACCGCTGGGTTAAATTTTAAAATGTATGCATATAAGAGATAATTTAACATATGGTCACTATAGATAATCTGTGCTAGTATTTTCTTAAATTTGTTCAGAGTTGATTAACAGTTTAAAACTCAAACCAAAGTTCCATTTTAGTAAGAAATTGTATCTTACCCACTACCATAAGCGTGAATTCAAAACCTCTCTTCACTGATTTTCTGTATACTTGATTTGGGAGATTGGCAAATCCCACATAGCCTTCAAGGTTCTTCTGTTGCTGACAAAAGCAAAAAGGGCCAAGTTATTCATGTATCAACAATGCTATTCTGTCATAGGCTTCAAAATCCCTCCATTAGCCTATTTTAGAAAATTATACAAACTATTTCTACGGCATTATCAATAAAACTATCAATTAATTCCTAAATGGACAAAATTATTTAAGCATGAGTTGACTGACAATATAATGGTTAATTATAAAAATCCAAGGGAATAAAATAAACATTAAAGAAACCTGCCTCAGAGCAAAGATTTCAATTGACAGTTAAGTTAGTGGCAAGATGATTGACCAACCAATTAAAAAAAAAAATAACAAAAAACTTTTCACAATAAAAAAATTCAAATCCCCTTAAAATCATATCAAGAATCCTTTTTAATTATCTCCTTTGATCACACTAATTAACACAGGTATGAGATTCTTGAAATTTGTCGTCTTGTTCATGATATGAAATCAAAATGTTGAATTTAAAGCAATTTTTAAAAATAAATTCTTGAAGGCTCTTGTGATCAATGTCAACCAGCTACAGTATCTTTCAAGCTGTTATGCCAGGTCCATTACGTCACTTCAAGGTGTTATATGATCTTTATTTTCAGGCTTATCCAGGTTTGAAAGTAATTTATAACTTCATTTCTATTGGTTTTTGATTCTTAGATGACCTCAACAATAGTTTCATGAGTAATTCAAAGAAATCTACTTCCAAATTGGTGTAGTAAATAAGTATGATTTTTAAGTTACCCATGGGTGAGAAATACTGTCCATTGTTAAAACTATCTGAATAAGCAGTCTTATTGGTTAATTTTACTTTAGAGGTAGTCTGATTTCAACATTAAACAATAACAGCAAAAAGAGGCACACCCTCTTTTGAAAGTTTCTGCCACATTTAAATTCTCATTTAAAAAACACTCATGAGATCAAAGCATCAATTCAATACACCTGGATTTAACAAAGAACAGAAGTCTACAATGTTGACTAGTAATGTAGCTAAATATTCCATCCATAATCTTTTGCCCTTTTGTTCATTCATAAAAACTCTTATGCCAAATTTTAAAAACTAAGCCCATTAAAATGAAAAGCTAACTGTAAACAATGATTAGGAGACTAAACAGAATCCAATATTTTTAAGTCAAATATATGAAAGTCTGCTATGAGTAAAGTTAGAAATACGTATTAAACCTAAGGTTTCCTTGGCTCATGTATCATCCAATTTTAAGTTAAATTTAAGTTAATTGAGACTGAAAAAAATCTCTGTATAAATTATGTAGTATACTCACAGCTACTTTGTAAAGAACACATTTCCATCATTCCAGTGTTCCAGATTCCAACAGAAGAAATCCACAGAGGAATAGTAAACAAAGAATTCCAAGAATTGTAATGATATATTCAGTCCAAACAGGAGAGGCAAATCCGTTGAAACACAGCAAAAGACAGAGAAGGAAAAAAAGTTACTTACATGTAACTCAACAAATTACAAAGAAATTAAAGGCAGACTTTTTTCTAAACATGTCAAAGTAATATTTTTTGTGTGGGATATAATGTCCAGTGAATTTAAATCCATTTTCAGCAACTGTTCTGATTAATATAAAAAAAGGAAAAGGCCTATTACTGCACCCTGTATATGAAGTCTTATAGAAACAGTGTAAAAGATATAAAACTATAAAGTTCCAGGAAGGTATACAAGAACCAAGTTTTAAATTGCAAGAAGAAAAAAACGTAAATTTCATGCAATTTTGCTTTGTCAGTCACTGGAAGTCCAGATCAGACAAATGCAAATGTCTTTTTAAAAATCTTTTTCTACAATGCTATATTTCAAATTCTATTAATTAAACTGAAGTCCAGAATTTAAAGAACCGTAGACATGTAGATACAGGAAAAGGAAGGAAGCTAAAGATGATAGGCAGAAACAGGTGAAAAGAGGAGGCAAAGGTGAACTGTGAAAACTGAAGGGCAACTAATGAAGCATAGACAATAAAATAGATAATCCTTGACCAAAGTGTGAAAAGTGTACATTTTTAAACTGATACAAATCTATGAGTTCTATCACAACCCGCTTCAAACAATTTGAGTCAGTTTTATAGTTAAAAGTAAAAGCCAAAGTCTCAATAATGGCCTACAGTGGTTCTCTACCTTAGCAGCATCTTAGAATCACTTGGGGGAGCGTTTACAAAATCCTAATGCCCCAGCTGCACCTCCAAATCAACTAAATCAATGTCTGCGAGTAAGAGCCATCCACCAGTATTTTTTAAACCTCCTCGAGTAGTTCCAACATGCACCAATGCTAAAAGCCACTAGCCAACAAAGCCCAGCAAGATCTGGCTCTACTCTTACTTCTGGCCTCATCTCCTGCTACTCTTCATCCTCTTGCTCACTTCTCTTCCTCCAACACTGAATTCGTAACTACTCCCTAAACATACAGGGCATACTTTCACTTCATGGCTTTTGCACTTGTTGCTTTCCATATCTAGAAATGATTATTTTTATTACTTAAATGTCACCTTCAAAAAAGCCTGCCCTGATCACCTTATTTAAAATTACAACCCCACTCCTCGCCTTAGCAGTTTGCTGCTTGCTGTATGCTTCTCCTTAGCTCTTAACCACCATCCAACATACATTTTACTCATCTTGTTTACTGTGACCTCCAACCTGCCCGCAAAGTAAGCTCCATCAAGGCAGAGACTGAATAAATTATATAAATTGTGCATCAAAGAAAAAGTATACAGAGAGAATACAGTATTTTAAACTGCACCTTCAAAGAACCCATCAGGTAAAAGGCATAACAAAAATGCCTCAGTCTGTCCTTGTTTCTTACTCCCTACTTTATCCACAGCAACAAGAACAGTCTTTGGCACACAGTACTATTTTAGAACTGAGAAAAGCAAGAAAGCATTCCAGGCAAAGGGGTGGCCCCTAAATTGGGGATAAACATGATATTTCTAAGAGTAAAAACGTTTGTGAACTATAATGAAGTGAAGTAGTGGACAAGGGGATGAGTGACAGGAAACGAGGTCAGGGAGGCAGGCAGGGGCCAGATCATGTGGGACTCAGCCAAAGTAGGAAGTTTGGATGTTATTTTAGGCATGATGGGAAGCCACTAGAGGGTTTTTCACAGGCAAGTGACCTGATTACTACTTTAAAGATAGCTCTCGGCCATCCAGAATGGCTCATGCCTGTAATTCCAAGACTTTGGGAGGCTAAGACAAGAGGACTGCTTGAACCCAGGACATCGAGGCCTCTGAGCTGTGATTATGCCACTACACTCCAACCTGAGCAACACAGTGAGAAATTTCATGGTTGGCTGGTGCTGAAAAATTAAATTTAGGACTCATCACAATACAGATACTATTGAAAAAGAACTGGATTCCCGAAGACAGACTACAGACAAAAAGAAGGGGGTCGAGACAAAGCCCTGGAGCACTCCAACACTGAGAGGTTAGGCAAAGAAAGACCGGCAGTGGAGAAAGAAAGAAAATCAAGACCATCTCAGGGATGGAGGATTCATTTAACCATGTTGAATGCTACAGACAAAAATGCCATAACAGACATGCTGATAAAATTTGGAAATAAGGTCACTGGTAACTTCAAAAACAAGAGCAGTCTCAGTAACATGGTGTCAAAGAAGAGTAACCAGGATGACTTTCAGTAGACAATTATTTGCATGTAACTATTATAATAAATAACTTTAATGTTTTTTAATAAACTTAAACATTTTGTCAGTTCCCCCATATGACTGATTTCCCAGAGGGAGAGAACCATGTCATAGTCATCTCTATGTCCTTAGCAAAGTGCTGACACGCAGTAGGTATTTTAAAAATCTGAATGACTGCTCTTTCAGGAAAACATCTTCTGAGAAAGAAACTGTACAAAGACAAAAGATTGGTTTGGCTCTGCTAAAAACATATTATCCCAAAATTCATATAAAAGTGTCCTATCAGAAACAAAAACATGTCTCTGAAGCTACCTGGCACAAAAATACTATTTAGAAAACATACTAATAACTTGGCTAGACATGGTGGCTCACACCTGTAATTCCAGCGCTTTGGGAGGCCAAGGCAGGCCGATCTCTTGAGGTCAGAAGTTCGAGACCAGCCTGGCCAACATGGTGAAACCCTATCTCTACTAAAAATAGAAAAATTAGCTAGGCATGGTGGTTCCAGCTACTCCAGAAGCTGAGGAATGAGAATCACTTGAACCTGGAAGGCAAAGATTGCAGTGAACCAAGATAGTACCACTGCACTCCAGCCTGGGCAACAGAGCAAGACTCTGTCTCAAAAAAATAAAAAAATAAATAATTTAATACTGGTTGATTAAAACATATAGACTTCTCCTACCTTATAAGAATGCTTCTATACCCTAAATTCTAAAATCAACCATAGTCTGTATTTCAGAAGACCAACCACTGATTCTTTCCCTGCACAAATGTTCACAGTGCCAGTGTAAAGTATCTCTGGATAAGGAAACATTATTTACAGATGTGGGTGATACAGTGGTAGCATTTATAAGCATGTATAAATAAAAGTATATTCACCCAAAAATAACCCCATGTCTTTAAAGTATTCATTGACTTTAAACATTAGTCATATAAGGAGAAACACTTATCAAATAATCTTTTCTAAAAGCCTATCTGCTAGATGTGCTTTACAAAATCTTTAGTTGTTAAATCTACATGTTAAAATGCATAGCTAAGAAAAATCAAACTACCGTTATTCCACTGCTTGATGGAAAAAATCAACTTAAATACAGTAACCCGTAACTTTAGTTCTAACCTTCCTTCTAAGGTTAAGTAAGTTCAGCACAAATATATTCAAAGACCAGCATGCTTCAAACAAGTTCTAAGAGATAGCTCATTGAAACTCTTTAGGAATCTTTATTCTTTGGAATAAGAACAGATGGCAAGAGAACATAAAGTTATCCAAATCTTGCTATCTAAAACCCCATTACCATTTTTAAAGTTCCAAATGCCAATTTTCAACAAATTTTCCAATAGATAAAAATTTTCCAATAGAAAAAAAGCAGCAACTTATTTTGGTATGTTTTTTGGTAACAACAAAAAATTAATCAAGGAGAATTGTAACAGAATGGAAGCCTGAAAAAAAATCAAATTTGAGAAAAACACAATCCTAGAAGGAACTACAAACCTTCAACTTCCCACGATCATTACAAAATGAGATGTTTAATAAAAAACTAAAATAATTAGGAATTACAATGTACACCCCAAATTACCTTAATATGCCCAAATTCTATTTCTCCCTTTAGTATGTGCAACTTAAACATCAGGCTACAAAAATCCAAGGTTAACATTAATAATTTTACATTTCAAAAATAACCTTTTATCTTTTCTAAATAATTTCAAGTTCAATCTGACTCCCTTTGGATTTTAAAATATATATATTAATATACACACACTCACATATATACAGCATATTGTTTTTATACACTGATGAAAATATTTGTTTCTCCTAAAGGGTAATTCTAAATATGAAAAACAAATACAGACTACAAAAGAAAAAGATATTAATGCAGAAGTTTACTTCTCCACTCCTTGATATTCCTAACAAAAGCCTTATATCATACACAGATTTAAGTGTCTGGTATTTGCTTAGTCAAATTCCTACCATCTCTCACACAGCCTAAGGAAACGGTAAAAGAACTTCATTTGTCATTTAAATGTTTTAAATATTTTAAGTATAACTAGTCTAAAAATGCCTAGATTCTAGATTTAATATAATATGAAAACTAAAATATTACACGATTACATACGCATATCCTAAATATCAGTTTTTATGTTCCTCATCCCTCACCTATTTTAAAGGTTCATGACCTATTTGGCATGCCCCCAGCTCTCCTGTTTTTACTGATACGAACAACTGGGTACTGACATAACCAACTTTTATTTTTTCAATCCTATTCTGGATTCTCAGTTAATCTGTTGAAAAGATTCTAATATTTAACTCTGTGAATACATGTAAGAATAACTTAAAATATAAATCAATTTTTCTTTGCTCTGAACTTAGAATTCAGATAACTTTCTAAACATACTGACCTCATTCCCTCACTCATTCATTCAACATACTTACGATATGCCAATCATATATGTGTGTGCTAGTAATTAGGAAGATAAAAGCTAATAAAAACAAGGTCCCTGCTCAAGAAGCTAAGAATCTAATAGGAAGGTGAGGTGAGCTAGAGGACAGTTAAAAAATTCAGTGATAAATGCTATGATACAGGAAACCACAGAAGAGTCTATGAAAGCAAACAAGGAAGGGTATTTCATCCTATCCTGGCATCAGATCCTTTAGATCCTAAAGGACTAGAAGACCTTAATTTGATGAGAGATGAGGGTGGGTGCTGGAAAATATGGGTCTCAGGCAGATGAGTTATTAACTGCAAAGACCCAAAATCAAGAATAGAGTATGGTATCTTATGGGAACTACAACAGTTCAGAACTATACACTCATTTTTAGGATCAAGGAACTATAGCTTAGGAGAGTTAAGCAAAGGCCAGATGATGAAGGACTTTGTTGGCCATACTTAGAAACTTAGACTTCATCTTGAAAGCTTAGGAAGAGCATTAAAGACATGAAGAAGAAGAATGCACAATCACATCAATTTACATGCAGAGTCACATTCATACTTTAGAAAGTTACTACTGACAAGAGCATTGATGATGAACTGGAGGAGAAAATGGTAGTAATCCCAAGAGCTGCTCCAGTTGCCCAGGGGAAAAATAAAGACTTGAACCAAAACAAAGGCAGTAGGGATAAAGAGAAATATAGGTTAGAACTCTACTATCCATTAAGGTAGCCACTAGCTAAATGTGGCGACTGAGGTACTTGAAATGTAGCTACAGGTATTGATCGATTTACGACCTATGCAACTTACAACCATTCGACTTTACGACCACAATCGCTAGCCACGACTGCTCCGCGTCTGGCAGCGCAAACGTTGCCCAGCTGGGAGTACGACAGTGCGGACCAGCTTCCGGCAGCACTACCATCTCCGCATGCATATAGCCTACTCAACTTAAGACCAAATCGTGTTACAACCGGTCTGTCGGAACCAATCGTGGTCGTAAGTCGAGCACTGGCTATAGTCTGAATTAAGATGTGCTACACGTGTAAAATACCATAGTTTGAAAACTTCATATGAGAATAAGAATGAAAAATCTTATTAATAATTTTATACTAATTGCATGTTGAAATAAAATTTTAGATATACCAGTTATATAAAATATAAAACTAAAGTTAGTTTTACCTTTTTATTTTTACTTTTTAAATGTGGCTATTATGAAAGCTTAATTACATGTGTAGCTTGCATCAAATTGCTATTGGACAATGCTAGGTTAGATATTAAAGAGATGAAATGATAGATCTCTGTAACTAACTTGTAGAAAAGTGATATAATTCAGATTTCTTAATTTAGGTTTCGGAAATTAGATGAATGGTGAGTACCAATTGTTAAAAGTAGAAATCATTTGAGTTAAGGTGCTAACTGGACTTTCGGAAAACAGATGTCTAGTAGGCAATTGCATATATAAAGGTTAGAAATGCTAGCAACATCTGAGTTAGACAGATGATAACATTTTAAGTAATCAACATTTAAATGCTATCAAAGCCATGGATTTGAATTCAAACACAGCATATAGAGCAGGAAGCAGGCCAAGAAGGAACACCAACATCCCATCATAATCACCTAAATAAACCTAAGAAAAGAAGAATTAAAGAGTTCACAGCAGCATTTCAAAGGACGTCAACTGCAGCAGCCCCCTCAAGAAGTGGTTAACTATACTATATCAAATGCTCTGGAGCGGTCAATCTAAGGATACAGAAAAATCTACTTATTGTTATTGGGAAGCACTGTCAAAGCTATATCAATGGAAAGATGGGAAAGAAGGCAGACTGGAAATAAATAAGCAGAAGAAAACTACAGGAAGTTAGTATAAGCAATTTTTTTTAAATGCTTACCTTTGAAAAGAATAGAAGCCAGAAAATACAAGGTCAAGAAAGAGTTTTAAGCACTTTAAAAAAAAAAAAAAAAAAAAAAGGCAGATAGTTGTATTTGTGTAATGCTAATAGAAAAGACCAAGCAGTAGACGAGCAGCTGAAGACAGGAAGCAAGGACACCGATAACATTTATGGAATGAAGGACAGGATTTTCCCTAAGCACCAGAGATAAAACAACTTGCCAATCCCCAAAAAGAAGAAGAGAAGTAGGGGATTTTAAGAGGTAAAGATGTCAAACGACAACCATAAGAATAGAGAGAGAGACTAGGAATACGTAGCAGCCATACAAGCAATTTTGTCCACTTAATTAAGGCTGAAGACCACAAATCTTTGAATGTATCCCTGAAGCCATGTGATCTTTTCCTCCAGTAGCAATCCATAACTTGAGAAACTTGTGGGAGTCATCTGAAACTGATATTTTGCAGGAAGGGCACACAAAAGTACATGATCAAGAGAGCTGACAAATACAATTGAAGCAATTCAGTGAATGAAGATGGAGAGGATCAAGGATCGAAGGCAGGAAGTAAAGAAGACAGTAAAAAAATGTAAGTTGTGGTTAGAATGGGCTATACAATTAAGATTTTAGATGAGGAACATAAGTTGCAGATGGTAACCCCATAGGGTTATTTCTTTTCTTTTTCTTTCTTTTTAAATATTTTTTCTTCCCACCCATTCCCCCACAGAGCTATTAAAAGGATGGCTCTCAGATGAGACAAAGAAAGAGAAAAAAGGATGGCTCAAACACAATCAAGAAACTGAGGCTAACTTATTGAAAGTGTCTTACACATGGGCCTAAAAATGTCCCAGAATGATGACAGAGCTTGGAACATAAAGAAAAACTGAGTGTTAGATGTTGTATTTAATATTAGAACAAAACAAGGGTGTAGTAACTGAAAATTTTAAGGAGGGGTAGAAAACACTGCTGCTAAACAGTAGAACTATAATGAAGCAGGTTCTTTTTTTTCTTTTATTTATTTGAGACTGAGTTTTGCCCATCGCCCAGGCTAAAGTACAATGGCACGATCTTGGCTCACTGCAACTTCCTCCTCCTGGGTTCAAGCGATTCTCCTGCCTCAACCTCCCAACTAGCTGGAATTACAGGCACGTGCCACCACACCTGGCTAATTTTTCTATTTTTAGTAGAGATGGGGTTTCATCATGTTGGCCAGGCTGATATCAAACTCCTGACCTCAGGTGATCCACCCACCTCAGCCTCCCCAAGTATTGGGATTACTGGTGCGAGCCACTGTGCTCGGCCGGAAGCAGGCTTCTTTTTTAGGGAGGATGTCCTAGAGTCTAGACCAGTGCTATATCATGGAAATATTAGGTAACCACATATGTAATTATAAATATGCTAGTACAGGGACCCCCCAACTTCCAGGCCATGGACTGGTAGCAGCCCGTGGCCTGCTAGGAACTGGGCCACATAAGTGGAGGTAAATGGCGGCAAGTGAATGGAACTTTATTTGTATTTCCAGCCTCTTGTATTACTGCCTGGCTCAGCCAGCTGCCAGATCAGCGGAGGTATTAGATTCTCATTGGAGCGTAAACTCTATTGTGAGCTGCTCATTCAAGGGATCTAGGTTGCACAATCTTTATGAGAATCTATTGCCTGATCATTTGTCACTATCTCCCATCACTCTAGATGGAACCTCATCTCTTTAAGAAAAAAAAAAAAAAAAAAAAAGCACAAATTAAAATGAAGATTAGGCCAGGTGTGGTGGCTCACTCCTGTAATACTAGCCCTTTGGGAGGCTGAGGCGAGACGACTGCCTGAGCTCAGGAGTTCAAGACCACCCTAGGCAACATGGTGAACCCCATCTCTACCAAAGTATAAAAAAATTAGCTGGGTGCGATGGAGCACACCTGTACTCCCAGCTCCTTAGAAAGCTGAGGCACGAGAACTGCTTAAACCTGGGAGGCACAGGCTGCAGTGAGCCAGGATGGTGCCACTGCACTCCGGCCTGGGTGACAGAGTGAGACTCTGTCTCCAAGAATTTAAAAAATAAAATGAGGCCAGGTACAGTGGCTAACACTTGTAATCCCAGCACTTTGGGAGGCCGAGGCAGGCAGACCATCTGAAATCAGGAGTTTGAGACCAGCAAAAAATACAAAAATTAGTTGGGCATGGTGGCACACACCTATAATCCCAGTTACTCAGGAGGCTGAGGCAGGAGAATCGATCAAACCCGGGAGGCGGAGGTTGCAGTGAGCTGAGATTGCACCACTGCAATTCAGCCTGGGCAACAAAATGAGACTCCGTCTCAAAAAATAAATAAATACAATTAAAAAAAAAAAAAATTAGTGCCCAGTACTAGGTGACAATGTGGAAAAAGAGATACTCTCCTACATGACTTTTGGAATATAAACTTAAACCACTGACCTAAAGAGCCATTTAACCACGTGGACCAAAAACTGAAGTTTTTATTCTCTTAAATTCAACAAATTTCACTTCCAGAAATGGACAGTCTTGAGAATCATACATAACTAAGATAAAAGAATATTCAACAAAGCACTGCTCGTAACAGTAAAAAACTGTAACAATTTTTGACACGTTCTAAAGACAAGTGAAACAAAAATTGTATTACAGTACCTTCATATATTAAAATACCAGGCAGCCCTTAAAAGTAAGGTTTTAGAAAAATATGCATGGACAGATAATGATATACTGACTAGAAGAAAAACCATTCTTAAACACTTGTCACAGGAGAACATCAAAGAAATTGGTGGAGTAAACACTTCAGAAAAGTATCTGCTTCATTAAAAGCAAGGAGAAAACTGACACAAATTGTCCAAATCAACTTACTTAAAATTCTGGAAATCAACCAGAAGTTTGCAGGAATCCAGGTAATGCTTATTCAAGAAAAAGAGCTGAACCTTGGTAAAAACAGCAGTTCTTGCATTTTAACTTGCCCATTCTCATCTCTCCTCCACCTCTACAGTATCCTTGAAAACCAACAGCACACCATCACCGTAAAAACCCAGCAGCCTGGCAGCAACTGGAAAAAACAGAACAAGCATGGAATGGCTTCAAAGCCTCATTCCCAAAGCGTTATCATTATTTGATGTGTCTGGTAGTTCCCTGGAAAGGCCTACTCACAAGTAACCACTAAGATAACCAAGCAGAGACTTCAGTGACAACATATGGCAAAAATTAACTTCACAGAATTAGTTCAAAAAGCAACTAAGCAGGCCAGGCGCAGTGGCTCAAGTCCATAATCTCAGCACTTTGGGAAGCCGAGGCGGGCATATCATGAGGTTGGGAGTTCAAGACCAGCCTGGCCAATATAGTGAAACACTGTCTCTACTAAAAATACAAAATAGCCAGGTGTGGTGGCACATGCCTGTAGTCACAGCTACTCAGGAGGCTGAGGCAGGAGAGTCTCTTGAACCTGGGAGGCAGAGGGTGCAGTGAGCTGAGACTGCACCACTGTACTCCAGCCGGGGCACAAAGAGTGAGAGTTTGGCTCAAAAAAAAAAAAAAAAAAAAAGCAACTAAGCAAATAAAAAAAAAAGAGCAACAACAAACCCTGCAGGGAAGAAAGTCTGATTTTCAGAGCTGCCACACTGTATTATTTAAAATGTCTAGTATTCAAGAGAAAATTATGAGCCTTGCAGAAAAAAAAAAAACCCAAAACTGAATGGCCCATATACAGGTGGAAAAAAAGCAACAGTCCCTGAGAAAGCCCAGACATTAAACAAATACGTTAAACCTGCAATTTTAGATATGTTCAAGAACTAAAGAAAAGTCAAATAAACCAATGTCAAGTATGAAAACAATGTTCATCAAATAGAGAATATGGAAAAAGAAAATTTTTTAAAAATCCTAGAGTTGAAAAATGTAATAAATGAAAGAATTCACTAGAGAAGCTCAACAAAAGATTGGAGCTTGCAGAAAAAAGAATCACCAAACCTGAAAATCTGTTAAATAACATGAATCAATTTAGTTAAAGGAAGAAAAATGAACAGAGCCAGAGACCTACAGAAAAAAATCACACATGAAGTAGGGGAGGGAAGGAGAAAAGAGTTGGGTGCAGGGAGGAAGGGACAGAATGTATATTTGAAGAAACAGAACTGAAAACTTCCCAAATCTGAAGAAAAACATTATTCTCCACATCAAAAGCCCAACAAACTGAATAAGATAAAATCAAAGGGACTCACACATCATAATCAAACTGTCAAAAACCAAAAATAGAGAATCTTGAAAGCAGCTTGTGAGAAGCAACTGTATGTACAAGAGACTGTAAATAAGAATAATAGCTGACATCCTATCAGAAACCACGGAGGCCTGAAAGCAAAAGGATGACATATTCAAAACGTTCAAAGAAAAAGACTGTCAACCAAGTTAGCTATGATCATGCTACTACACTCCAGCCTGAATGACAGAGACTCTGTCTCAAAATAAGACTTGAGATATAGAAAACATAGCAAAATCACAGGTGTAAATCATATCACTATTTAGATTAAACGTAACTAGATTAATGTATTTTGCTGTTTCAGGTATAATGGGAATCCAATCAAAAGGCAAAGAATGGCTACGTGAATTTTTAAAAGTAAGATCCACCTATATAGTGCCCACATGAGACAGGTTTTAGAATCACAAACACAAACAAGTTGAACAAAAGGACAGAAAACAATAAAGACAGAGCTGAAGTAGCTACACTAATATCAGAAAACACGGACTTAAAAGACAAATATTGTTACCACAGACAAAGAAGAGTATTTTATACTGATTGAAGGACCAATCCATTGAGAATATAAAACAATTTTAAGCACATATGCCTCTAGCAAAGGAGTCACCAAATTGCACAAAGCTAAGAAAATCAAAGGTAGAAATAAAACAATTGAACAGCAGTAGCTGACTTTCAACACCCTACTTTCAATAACAGGTAAAACAACTAGACAGATAAAGAAACAGCAGAAGACTCAACACACTATAAACCAACTAGACCTAACACATAGCTATACAACATTCCACCCAAAACCAACAAAATATATTCTTCTCAAGTGCACATGGAATATTCTCCAAAACAGACCATATGTTAGATAACAAAACGTCTCAATTTAAATGGGTTGAAAATCATACAAAGCATATTCTTCATCCACTAGAGAATGGCGTTAAACATCAACTGAAGAGAGAAATTGAGAAAATTTAAACATTTGTGAAAATTAAACACTACACCCTTTAAGAATCAATGGGTCAAAAACTAAATCACAAGGGACAGTGGAAAATAATTCGAAGTGAATGAAACTAAAAATACAACATACCAAAATGCATTGAACGCAGCTAAATCAGTGCTTAGAAGGAAATTTACAGCTTTAAATGCCTATATTAAAAGAAAGATCTCAATCATAACCCTCCATCTCAAGAAACTAGAAAAAGAGCAAACTAAACCCAAAACAGGAAAAACAAAGGAAATGATTATTTGAGCAGAAATAAGGGAAATACATAAAATAGAAATATTAACAAAACTGTTAAGTTGGTTCACTGAAAAGATCAAGTAAATTGACAAAACCTTAGCTAAACTGACCATGAAAAAACAGAACATTACTGAAATCAGGAATGGAAGAGGGGAAATCACCTTTCAGAAATAAAAAAGGATTACAAGGGAACCCATAAACAATTCCATGCTGACAATATATCGGATTATAACCTACAGGAAATGCAAAAATCCCTAGAAAGACATAAGCTACCAAAACTGACTCAAGAAGAAATAGAAAATCTGAATAGTCCTATAATAGATTAGTAATAAAACACACACATACACACGCACACACACACGCATGTATCAAAAAAACAAAAACACAAAACTTTCCACGACGCCCATGCCCAGATGTCTTCACTAGTAAATTTTATCAAATGTTTTTTAAAGGTTGTACAATCCTTCAAAAACTATTCCAAGAAATAAAAGACAATGAAATACTCCCCAACTCATTTTATAAGGCCAGTTTTACTCTGATACCAAAACCAGACACATCAAGTAAAAACAATCAGTCAACATCTTATATGGATGCAAAAAACATCAACAAAGTACTAACTAGCAAACCAAATCCAGCAATAAAAAGGGATTATACACTATAACCAATGGGATATATTCCAGAACGAATTTTTTTTTTTTTTGAGACAGAGTCTCACTCTGTCACCAGGCTGGAGCGCAGTAGCGTGATCTCAGCTCACTGCAACCTCTGCCCCTCTGCCTTCCGGGTTCAAGCAATTCTCCTGCCTCAGCATCCCAAGAAGCTGGGACTATAGGCATGCGCCACCACGCCCAGCTAATTATTTTGTATTTTTAGTAGAGACGGGTTTTCGCCATGTTGGCCAGGATGGTCTTGATCGCTAGACCTTGTGATCCATCCGCCTCTGCCTCCCAAAGTCCTGGGATTACAGGCATGAGCCACCACGCCTGGCCAAATATGCTGGTATTACATATGAAAATTAATCAGTGTAATACACTAAATTAAAACACACACATAACAAACACAACATGGTCATCTCAGCAGACACAGAAAACACATTTGACAAAAATTCAACACTCTTTCAATGATAAACACACTTAACAAACTAGAAATAGAAGACAACCTCCTAGGCAGGGCACGGTGGCTCACACTTGTAATCCCAGCACTTTGGGAGGCCAAGGCAGATGGATCACAAAGTCAAGAGTTCAAGACCAGCCTGGCCAATATGGTGAAACCCCGTCTCTACTAAAAATACAAAAATTAGCTTGGCGTAGTGGTGGCACCTGTAGTCCCAGCTACTCGGGAGGCTGAGGCAGGAAGATAGCTTGAACCTGGGAGACGGAGGTTGCAGTGAGCCAAGATCATACCACTGCACTCCAGCCTGGGTGACAGAGCAACACTCTGTCTCGAAAGGAAAGAAGGAAAGAGGGAAGGAAAGAGGAAAGGGAAGAGGAAAGGAAGAAAAAAAAAAAGAGAACCTCCTTAATCTCATAAAGAACATCTCGGGAAACCCAAAGCAATGATGAGACTGAATGCTTTCACTCTAAAATCAAGAACAAGACAAAGATGACTACCACTGCCACTTCTAATCAATACTATTCCAGAGGTTCTAGAAAAGGCATTTGGTAAAATAAAGAAGTAAAATGCATCTAGATTGTAAAGTAATGTAAGGAGTATTTGCAGGAGATATAATCTTATAAATAAAAAATCCAAAAGAATCTACTAAAAAAAAAAAAAAAAACTACAGGAACTAATAAAGCTACATGATATTAAGATTGACAAAAATCAATTGCATTTCTATAAAAAAATAAAGAAAACAGTTCCATTTGCAATAGCATCAAGAATAAAATACCTAGAAATTTAAATTTAACAAAAGGAAATGTCTCATACATCAGAACTATAAAACTGTTTTTCAAAAAAACTGAAGATCTAAATAAATAGAAGATATTGTGGGTTAACGGTGTAGAAGACTTAATAGTGTTAAGAAAGCAATACTCTTCAAATTGATATACAAGCTCAACACCATGGCTATCAACATTCCTGCTGGCCTACTTGTAGACATTAGTAAACTAACCCTATAGTTCAGATGGAAATTCAAGGGAACCAGAATAGCCAAAACAATTTTGAAACAGAACAAAGTTGGAAGATTCACACTCCTGGATTTCAAACTTACTGCAAAGTTACAGTTATCAAAACAGTGTGGTACTGCCATAAGGACATATAAGTCAATAAGAAACATGAGAATCCACAAATAAACGCTTACATTTATGGCCAATTGTTTTCACAGAAGGTTGTCAAGACAACACGATGGAAGGGCTAGTCTTTTCAACAATAAGTGATGAAACTACTGGATAGCCACATACAAAAGAATGAAGGTGGATCCATATCTCACACCATACAAAAAATTAACTCAAAATGGATCAAAAACCTAAACATAAAGGTCTAAAACTATAAAACTCTTATAAAACATAGGTGTAAATTTTCATGACCTTGGATTAGAAATGCTTTCTTGACTATGACATCAAAAGCACAAGTAACAAGTAGATAAACTAGACTTCATCAAAATTTAAAATGCCTGTGTGTCACAGAACACTATCAAGAAAGAGAAAAAACACCTTTGGAAATGCAGAAAATACCTGCAAGTATTCTATCTGATAAAGGACTTATATCCAGAATCCATAAAGAATTCTGACAACTGAACAGTAGTAAGACAACTTCATTAAAAACTCAGCAAAGCATTTTAATAAACATTCCTGCAAAGAAGGTGTACAAATTACCAGTAAGCACATGAAAAGATGTTCAACATCATTAGAGAAATGCAAATTAAAACCTCAGTGATACCATCTCATACCCAGTAGGGTACTTTTAAAAGACAGGCAATAATAAGTGTGGACAAGAATGTGGAAAAACTGGAACCCTCACACATTGCTGGTAGAAATGCAAAATGAGGCAGCTGCTTTGGCAGTTTGGCAGTTCTTCTAGAGTTAAACTAGAGTTACCCTATGATCCAGCAATTCTATCCCTAGATATATATCCAAGAGAATTGAAAATTCTATGTCCACACACAAGCCTGTACTCAAAACATTCACAGCTGCATTATCTATAATAGCCAAAAAGTAGAAACAACCCAAATATCAACTAATGAATGGATAAATGAAATGTGGTAGTATATATACAACACAAAATATTCAGCAATAAGCAGGAATGAAGTACTACTGAGGCATCCTACAACATAGACAAAACTTGAAAACACTGCTCCTAAGTGAAAGAAACCATCACAAACGATCACAGTATATGATTCCATTTATACAAAATGTCCAGAATAGACAAATCCATAGAAATGGAAAGTAAACTGGTGGTTGCCAGGACAATGCAAGAGGAGGCATGGGGACTGATCATTAATGACTGCAACGTTTCATTTGGGGCTGATGAAAATGTCCTAAAAGTAGATAGTGACAATGGTTGCACAACCCTCAATACATAAAAAAACCACAAAATTTTACACTTTCAAGGGGTAAATTTTATGGCATGTAAATTATCTCAATAAATCTGTCATAAAAACAAGCATTGCCGGGCGCAGTGGGGCTCACGCCTATAATCCCAGCACTTTGGAAGGCTAAGGCGAGCAGATCACAAGGTCAGGAGTTCAACACATCCTGATCAACATGGTGAATCCCTGACTCTAATTTAAAAATGCAAAGAAATACCAGGTGTGACAGCGTGAGCCTATAATCCCAGCTACTCAGAGGCTGAGGCAGGAGATTCACTTGAACTCGGGAGGCAGAGGTTGTAGTGAGCCGAAATTACATCACTGCACTCCAGCCTGCTTGACAGAGTGAGACTCCATCACAAAACAAACAAACAAACAAAAAGCATGCACTGTACACTACCTCTCACACATAAAGTGCTGCATCTCCTTTCTCACACGTATCTTCTCATATGTGCAAAAAGATAGTCACAAAAAAAACATGAGATCCATCACCTCTATGGATGTGTGGAAAAGGGGTAGAAAAAAGGAGAATGAGAACAGAGTAAAAGAAAGGTGCGAGGAATACTAAATTGGTCTATTAACGAACTTAGTCTGTTAATACCATGGTAATTTTCCATATATTCCCATTAAAAAAAAAATCAGCCAGATGTGAAAAGAAATAGTAACAAATAAAACTAACTGTATTTCAAAAGAATAACATGAAGACACTGAAGGGGGTGAAACAGAAAAGAACATAATTAACTTTGGGGAAAAGTATTTTGATTAGCATAAGGTATTGGTATAGCGTATCAACGGTATTAGTAGTGTACAAGGCTAAAGACAAAAAAGTATATACAAATGTTATACTCTAGCAAGTAAGTATATTACATAGTTCTAAAGTTACATCTATGTGTACAATACAATTTTACAAGTATAGAAATAAATTGTAGATGAAAGCCAGGTTTTGAAGAATGGAGTTAAAAGGAAAAGAGAAAGGCTAGACTGAGCTCTCCATTAACAGATTGGAATTGATGTACCAGTATAAATTCATGATTTTTAACATACATATGCATATATTTTTACACATGTATACAGAAATATAGATGTATATAAATTCATATATTGCCTGCCTCCATCTGCTCAAAACACCTGCTAGAAGCAGTGACACCCCAATAGTAATGAGCACTTCTAGTGCTCAGATCTTGGTTTCTAATCACTATTCTCAAAGAAAGGATGCTGGACTCCTTAGACAATGGTTGACTCCAAGGCTTAAGCAGGAAAAATATAAGATGAACCAGAAAGCAAACAAGTATCCTCAAAAATGATGGGGATAGGCTGAAAGGATGAACAAGAGTCAACCTGAAAGGGCTTTCAATGGACAACTGAACAATAAAACAATGAAAAAATTAATAAATAATTGAACTAATGAGTAAATGAAAGAGTTCTTCCTTACAATAGAATCCCAACTTTAAAATGCAGCTTAATATCAACAGAAAATCACCAGTAACACAAACAGCACAGTAATAACTGCCACAGGCAAGAATCATTGACAGATATTAAAGTTAGTGGGTAAAAATATAATGAGAAATAGGGTATTTGCATAGTCCAACAAAAAACTAGTATCTAAAGTATAATAAGAACCTTTGCAACTCATTAAGACAAATAACCCAATTTAAAAATGGACTAAAGATTTCAACAGACCACCAAAGGTGACAAACAGATGGCAAATAAGCACACAACATCATTAGTTATTAGGAAAATACAAATTAAAATTACAATAAGTTATCTCTACAAATCTGTAAGAATGGCTAAAATTAATAGCAGTGACCATTCCAACTGTTGGTGAGCACAGGGAACAACTTGAATTCTTATTCACTGGGGATTAAAATGTAAAACGTTACTAACATATTGCAAAATAATTTTGCAATTTATTTAAAAATTAAACATACATCTACCATATTACTTACACCAAATATTTGCCAAAGAGAAATGAAATGCTGTGCCACCATCATTACAGCTTTTTTAAAAGTTTACAGAAAAAGCATAAAAGAAAATACTCTGCAACTTTTAACAGTTAACCCAGTGGCCAGCACACAGCAGGTACAAAATATATACTAAATGAATGAACCTGACTGTTGAAGTTCTAAACTAATGACCTAAACAGCAATACTATCAATACTTAACATCAATGCTACAGTAATATAACATCAATACATTACTGATGTAACGACTTAATGTCAATATAACTTCAACCGGTAGTCTGTTATTTCAAAAAGTTCAAAAGCACTGATACACTACCAAATGTGAAATGATCAATATCCCAAGTTACTCATGATGTCATGGTTGTTTCCCAACAAAAAGCTTCCCAAAATGGGTAGTTTTGATATGGGCCTTCCTTAAGAGACGATAGGACTTCAAGGCAGGTACAGACATCATAAGCAGAAGCAAGGCCTGGTACAGTGTCTCTTGCCTGTAATCTTAGCACTTTGGGAGGTTGAGACAGGCAGATCACCTGACTCAGGAGTTTGAGGCCAGCTTGGTCAACATGGCAAAACCCCATCCCTACACAAATACAAAACAATTAGCCAGACGTGGTGGCACACATCTGTAATCCCAGCTACTGGGGAGGCTAAGGCATGAGAATCGCTTGAACCCAGGAGGCTGAGGTTGCAACAGTGAGATGAGATCACACCACTGCACTCCAGTCTGGGTGACAGAGCAAGACTGTTTCCAAAAAAAAAAAAAAAAAAAAAAAAGAATACTGAATATTACTCATTGTAAGCAGGAAAAGGAAAAGGTCGAACCAAGGAGATCCTAAAATGATAGCCTAAAAGTTTTTAATATAATAAAGATTCACAAGGCAGTATAAGTACAGCTAGCTAGAAATCTGAATTCCGGCATCTGCTGTAACTTAGAATTGTGTTCTGGTAGGTAAATTACATACCCTTTCTGAGCCTTAGGTTGGGATAATGTCTTGATGAGGTTATTTGTAAGGTATATATAAAACAAATAACATAAAGGGTTTGGCACCTCATATACAGTAAGTATAATAAATGATAGTTGTTATAGTGGTTGTGCTACAGATGACAGCCATTATTAAGGCCTCCGGACTTATATCTTGCAGAAAAGTGATTCCCAAACCTGGCTATAATCAGAAGAATATAGGGAGCTTCTGATTAAAAATAGAAACCTGGGCCCCAGTCTAGAAGTAGGGAATTAAATCTGGCTGATAGAACGAAAGAAATAATATTTTTAACAAGCACTCTAGAAGCCAATACTACAAATAATAGATATTTATTTTACTATAAATAATAGATAAGTTATTTTGTAAAAGCAGTGTTTTAGGTACAGCAATCTTAAAAAATTTATTAAATGAAGTGGGAAGAAACTGGAAGCCATAAGAACAATGAGGAAACTACCCTATGGGGGAAAAAATGGTCCTTTGTCCACCTTAGCTAGACTCTCATTGTTAAATGGAATCCACTAGCAACCAACTAGAACTAGAATACACATCCTTCAATTAAAAAACAATGGAGCCTCCCAAAACTTTCAACATAGATTCAAATAAAAAATGTTTCCATTAAGCATAAAACTCCCTATTCCCTTGACATTTCCCTTAGCCCTGGCCAATATTAATGTTGATGGTGCATTTTTATCATATACCATGCTATATTTGCATGTCTGTACTATTTCTGCATGTCCTCTGTGCTGACCAAATGTTTAACTTTCAAAAAGAAAGAGGCTTCAACTTTTTAGCAAACCTAAAATTATTCCAAAATAAAAAAAAAGGGGGGCGGGAGGAGAGGGTGGCCCATATCTATGTGATTACCTCTCTAACAACACAGCAACATGCACTAACACAAACTTAAGTATTTTTGGTGGGTCTACTTGCCAGCTAAGTCATTCTAGTTATCTTTTTTGCCCACAGTTGAAGTTGAGTTAGCCATCTCCCTAAATGCCTTATTTTTTTATTTTATTTTTTGAGACAGAGTCTCGCTCTGTCACCCAGGCTGGAATATAGTGGACTGATCTTGGCTCACAGCAACCTCCGTCTGCCTCAGCCTTCCGAGTAGCTGGGATTACAGGCACCCATCACCACACCCAGATAATTTTTATATTTTTAATAGAAACAGGGTTTCACCATGTTGGCCAGGCTGGTCTCAAAACTCCTGACCTCAAGTGATCCGCCTGCCTTGGCCTCCCGAAATGCTGAGATTACAGGTGGTCTGAACCACTGCCACCATGCCTATCCCTTAATAAGAAAACTTCTAAGCACCACCTCCCACCTAGTGAGTTATAGTGTCTCCAAGCCTGTTAAGCATTAGAAATGTTTCCAATTCTCACACACACACACACACACTTTTAGTAAAAATTAACTTACAAATGACTGAAATAATTTATTTTCCTCTCCTGGTTAATTTAAGTTAATCATAAAAGCAGCCAAGTTTACATACTAAACTTTTATTATTATAAATGCTTTAAAATGTTGATATTTTAAAGTACATTAGTTCCTGGAAATTTTTTCCTTGTATAGTTCACCTCACACCCCAGAATGCTACATGTAATAAATGAGGTGGTATTCTCCTTATTTTTTTAAAAAAAGAATATAAACAGAAAGAATTAAGACAAAATTACCATGAGAATTTTGCCTCCTCTTACACAAATAATGATCTCACTCAAAATATTTACGGTATTCTCTAAAACTGAAGGACGATACACACCAAAATCTTCCTCAAAAAGAAAGAACTCGGCCGTGTGTGGGGCTCACACCTGTAATCCCAGTACTTTGGGAGGCTGAGCCAGGAAGACTGCCTGAGGTGAGGAGTTTAATACCAGTCTGGCCAACATGCTGAAACCCCATCTCTACTAAAAATACAAAAAAATTAGCTGGGCGTGGTGGTGTGCACCTGTAATCCCAGCTACTCAGGAGGCTGAGGCAGGAGAATTGCATGACTCGGGAGGTGGAGGTTTCAGTGAGCCGAGATCACGCCACTGCACTCCAGCCTGAGCAACAGAGCAAGACTCCATCTCAAAAAAAAAAAAAAAAAAAAAAAAAAGAACTCATTACAATCTGAATGGACAATATAAATATCTAAGGATACAAAATGTCACTCCTGCAAAGAAACACTGGCATAAAGCTGAGTCTGAAACAACTGCTGCTGTGAAATGTTACCAGCAGAAATTTTGAATAAGTGGACATTTCAATGCTACCCAAGAAACTGGAGACCTCAGTCTGTACAACTTTGAAAGACAAGAAAATTTCACACAAATCATTTATTCTAATTTCTTTCAACTCTGTTCACAAATTCACTTACTAAACATAAAAATCCAAAGCATAAATGAATACATTTACACTTATCTGAAAATGTTTATATTGTGTCCTTGATGTCTCTCCTAGTATTGAGACCCTACAAGACATCCTGCTTGGATGTCCCTCAGGCCTCCCAATTCCATGTTTTGAATTACCTATTTCAAGAAATAGCATCTACTCATCTACCTATTCACTCGTCAGAACGCTCAAATATTCTGGACTCATTACTTACCACCCACATTTTCCCTAATACCTCACAACCATACCTCCCTTATGGCCTTTGTCACCAACCTGCCTCTGACCAATCTTTACTCCTAAGCTGCTACATTAACCTCCCTCAATTTACTGGCTCCACCTAGTGCCCTGTCCAATTCTCCAGAGAGAATCAGCATCGTGATTCTTATGATTACCACTTTTCTTTTAAAGGCTTCAATAAATATTTTTAAATCCTCAGCACAGCAATACCAGTTACCTGCTTACCTCTTCTAACCTCATAACCTGATACTAACATGATTTCTCAGTCTAGAATAAGTATCTTTACTCCTTCACCTCTATCTAATCACTCCTACCGACTTTTAAAGATTGACCTTCTCCAGTATAGAAAAGGTATCCTGCTTTAAACTTTCACTGTATGCTCTACATACCTTTAAATTGTATCACAAATTTTTTACTAAATACAAGCCAGTTATGGGGATACAAAGGTGAACAAAACACAATCCTAGACTTTAAGCACAGTGGAGGCAGCAAAATAAAGTCAACTGCAATATGGTCTGATAACTTTTTTTAAGCTAACACCTGAGTGTTTATTATATGCCAGGCATCAAGCTAAGGATTTGCCATGTACTATCTCAGTTACATCTCCAATAACCTTATGATTTCCACTGTACAGTGAAGGAAAACTAAAAGTTCTGTTATTTGCCCAAGGTTCAATTAAACTTTAGAACTGAGATAGGAATCCAAGTCTGAATCTAGACCCGAAGCTCTTAATCACCAGGCCTTTATTTCTACTGCCACAGCATTTAATTCAGTTTCCCCAGTGGCCAGCACACAGCAGGTACAAAATGTATACTTGTTAAATAAATGAACTTGATTGTTGAAGTTCTAAACTAGTGACTTAACAGCAATATTACCAATACTTAACATCAATGTTATGGTAATAGAACATCAATACATTATTGATATGATGACAATGTCAATACTACAACTTTTAAGTGGTAGTCTCCTGCTTCAAAGAGTTCAAAAGCTAACACTGTTAGTGTATTTATTAAATACACTAACAAATGTGAAAAGATCAATATCATACCAAGTGAGTCATCATGTCATCGCTGGTAATAGCAAAATACTGGAAATTAATGTCTATCAGAAGCAGACCCGTTAAACAAATCATAGTCTATCCCACATCACCGTCTATCCATATGCTATGGTCTCAGTGTGTCCTCCCAAAATTTGTATGTTGATACTTCATCACTATAAGACCTTATAGAAGAGGTGCTTCAACCTTTTGCCCCTTCTACTTACTATACTAGGGAACAGCATTTGTTCCCTCCAAAGGAAGTAGCATTTAAGATGCCATCTTAGAAGCAGAGACACCAAAACTGCTGGCACTGTGATCCTGGACTTCCTAGTTTCCAGAATGGTAAGAAATAGATTGCTGTTCCTTATAAATTACCCAATCTCAGGTATTTTGCTGGAGCAGCACAAACAGACTGAGATACCATATAACAGTTATGCAGCTGTATAAAAGAGTAAGAATGCTCTTTATTTACTGACATGGAATAATCCAAGGTACACTCATTGGAAAGAAACAAGGTGGGAAACAATGTGTCTTGCTACCAAGGGTGGGGGCAGAAAGAATATATGCTTTTAACTTCCACATGCAAAAAACATCTTTGGAAGAACACACAAGAAACTGTTAACACAGGATGCACGAGTAGTAGTAAACTGGGTGACTTGGGGGTAGAAGGAAGGAGGTTTCACTGTATTTCTGTTTAACCTTCTGAATTTTGAACCAAGTGATTATATTACCTATTAAAAAAAACTCCCAATAAAATTTTTAAAAAGCAATTTTAGAAATGAAAACAGAAACATCATATCATCCATGGCCATAGCTTTCTTGATTGCTATGGTGTCAACGTGTCTGATTCTTGCTGGAGTCAAATATTGGTTTAAATCAATGAGCAAAGTTTACAAAAGTTTCAAATTACCACTTCAAGAATATTTCAAATATATTTTATAAGGAATAGCATAACTGGTGGAAAATGGTTTTGATTTTCCTGAAAACAGTCAATCAGAGCCAAAGATTTTCAAAGCCTCATCCCAGGCCTATCGTTTATCAAAGTGTGAAACACCACAAGAATCTGTATTTTTTGAAAAACACCACGATGATCATTTTATTTGGAATCTTATATAATAAAGAACTTATGGGGGTGGGGAGACTTTAGAAAGTTACCCAGAAAAAACACTTTAGATGAGTCAACTGTATACATATATCAGTAAAGCTGTTAAAAAAATAAATTTAAAAAAAAAAAAAAAAAACACAAATTCATGGCTATTAGAAATCTTATCAGTGGTTACCTGGGGCAGTAGAAGGAGAATTCCAACAGGGCACAAGAAATTCTGGGATGGTGGAAATATTCTATATCTTGATTAGAATAAGGGCTACAAGATGTGCATATGCACACGTCAGCAATTCATTGAACTAAATACTTAAAATCCATGTATTTTATTGCATTAAAGTATACAATAATCAATACAGCTACTTGGTAATTTGGAAAGCATTTGGATATGTAGATTCCTAAGTCGCTCTCCCAGAGATTGCTAATCAGTGGGTCTATAAAGGGAACCAGTTAATCTGCATTTTTAATTCCAGGCCATCGTGGACCTTTCAGGCACAAAGGTCATCAATTATACTTCAGAAAATACTGACCTAGCATAATATTCCATGTCCAGTAATTACTGATCATGCTTTGCAAAAATACATAAATTAATGATAACTTAAGACAAAAAAAATTAGGTAATTTTGATTCCCAAGTTTAGAAAATACTAATATTGGCAGGGTACGGTGGCTCACACCTGTAATCGCAGCACTTTCGGAGGCCGAGGCGGGTGGATCACGAGGTCAGGAGTTCGAGTCCAGCCTTAGTAACATGGTGAAACCCCGTTTCTACTAAAAATACCAAAATTAGCCAGGAGTGGTGACGCACACCTGCAATCCCAGCTACCCGGGAGGCTGAGGTAGGAGAATTGCTTGAACCCGGGAGACGGGATGCAGTGAGCCGAGATCCCACCACTGCACTCTAGCCTGGGAGACAGAGCGAGACCCTGTCAAAAAAAAAAAAAAAAAAAAAAAATACTAAGAATATTAAGCGGTAGGAGTTCCAGGAGGAAGAACTAAGGAGTAAGACAGTTAGGAAAGCTTGTTCCTTCTTCCCCATCTCCTACAATCCTTCAATAGCTCTCCATCACGTAACTGCAGTGGTTCTCAACCATGGATGATTCTTCTCCCCCAGGTGACATTTGGCAATCTCTGCAGACATTTTTTTTGTTTCACAACCAGACAGAGCATGTGCTACTGCTATCTTAGCACAATGACAGCAGGGATGCTGGTAAATATTCTGCAATGCACAAGACAGCCCTCCCCTCCCCCAAATAATTATAAAACCTCAAATGAGAAACTCTGACCTGGAGTCTCACCTCCAATGAAGCTACCAAAAGTAGTCAAGTTGTGACCCAGAGTTAAACAAAACAACAGAATTAACATGTTACAACTTCAGGAAAGTCCGTTTTTACATCCAGAATAGTGGGGAAGTAGGAAGGATATCATCTTTATATTTTACATAAAGCAAACACAGAATAAAATGCAAATGCCACATGAATACCTAAGACTTAAAAAACTTCAAAATAATGTAAGCAGGAGAAGCTTCAGGCTATCCCCTCAATAACAGGGTATTTACATATTCTCCTCAGCTTTCAAAGTATAGTATTTTTAAAGTTAACACTGGCCTAAAATATAATATTGTACATAAACTTTAGCATGACAATCTGTTTGTTGCTACCACACAGTCTAGCATAGTGCTATGCAAAGTACAGTCTGTGGACCAGTGAGCCGGTCTGAGAATTATCAGTTTAAGTCAGAGAAACATAGAAATTGAGAGCACAAAAAATTGGAAATTTTAACAGCAGAATAATTTACATCTATTGAAATAAATAATAAAAAATTGGGGCTTATAATTTATCTTTCTTATTCCATTTCTACTTTTTTTTATCTGCAGTACAGTCATGCACTACATAACAATGTTTTGGTCAATAACGGACCACATTTATGACAGTGGTCCCATAAGATTACCATGGAGCCAAAAAAATTCGTATCACCTGTGATATCACAGCAGTCCTACGTTCACAGCACAGAACATCATCTCTTCTATGATTAGAAACACAAACACTTGGCTGGGTGTGATGGCTCAGTCCTGTAATCCCAGCACTTTGGGAGGCCAAGGCAGGAGGATCACTTGAGGTCAAGAGTTCGAGACCAACCTGGCCAACAAGGTGAAACCCATCTCTACTAAAGATACAAAAATTAGCTGAGCATGGTGGCAAGAGCCTATAATCCCAGCTACTCAGGAGGCTGAGGCAGGCGAATTGCTTGAACCTGGTAGGCAGAGGTTGCAGTGAGCCAAGATACCGCCATTGCACTCCAGCCTGGGAGGCAAGAGCAAAATTCCATCACAAAAAAGAAAAAAAAAAAAAAAACACCCCACAAATACTTACCATTACCATTGTGTCATAACTGTCTACAGTAGTCAGTACAATAACAAGCTGTGCAAGCTCATAGCCTAGAAGCAATAGGATATAGCCTAAGTGTGTAGTAAGCTTTACCATCTAGGTTTGTGTAGGTACACTCTACATCTCAATGTATCCCTATTAACAATGCATAACTGTGCTTTTTAAAATTATAATCAAACCTACTCTGACTGATACATCTAGTGAGTAGCAAAGCCAAGATTTGAATCCATATCTAACAACAAAGCCGTTCTTAATCATTACTGTTAAGATTTTGAACTGAAACTCCAATGTGTAATCCCTACATCTGGATAGCTGGAATGCACCAAGTGTTAAGTCACAAGGTCTTAGCACGTCTGGCCTAAGGCCTTTAACACTAAAAGCCAGCCAAGCTGCCTCTTTGACCCTTCTTCCCCAAGCCCATGCTCAAAGTTTAGTCTCCAGAACTCTGATCATGCAAAAGGACACGGGAAGACAAAAACAAAGAAAAGATTCATCCTCAAGGCCTAGAAGCAGAGTCACTGAATGCTACTCTTTTCTCTTTTGGAAACTACCCTGGTTTCTGGCTATGGGGGATAATATCCTCTCAAATAGGAGTAGGCCCCAGGTCTCTCTAATCAATGCTAGCTATATGGAGTACAGAATAAATGAATCCAAAACAAAACAAAAAAAAGCCACATGGACTTAATAGTCTATAACTTTAAAGCCTTCCTCATACCAAGACCTCCAACCCCTAACATAAGTTTCAAAGACCTTAGATATGACTCATCCATACTGCATATTTTAACCAGAATCCTTTGAAAAAATTACATCCCAACCCAGTACACAATATCTGAAAGAAAATTTAACTTCCCTCAAAAAAATCCGTATTAAGTGCAATGACCTATTTTGGTCCAAAGTAATTGCAGTTTTTGCCATTACTTTCAATGGCAATATTTTCTCTTCTTAAATATTAGTAAAAATTCACAAAATTATTTCAAGACCCACTAATGGGTCACAACCTGCAGCCTTCGAAACACTGCTATACAGTTCAATGGTTTACATTTAACAGTATATTCTCATCTAGCAAACTAAACCCATAATCAAACTACCTTAAAATTCTACTCCTTAAAAACATCATTTTTCTTCATTTTCTATTACATAATAAAGTTTACGTCTTTACAGTCCAAACATAGTACAGAAAAAGAAATACACAAAAAGTTTTGTCTAAAACCTTAGTAAAATACATAACTTAGTTTAAAATGTTCAACTTCTAATCAAAAATTGAAGATAGCTTATCAAGTCAAAATGTGAAACACATTTCAGCAGGCAATTTAGTCAGGTAAGAATCGGCAATTCCCAGAACACAGTCTACAATAAATACATATATCATCAAATTATAAGTCTGAAACTCATCTGCTCTACCACTATCCTTATTATGACTGGTCCCCTCATCTGATTACTCTCCATTACTGAGATCTTAGATGCCAAAGATCTAACTCTTCTTCCTCCCTCTTTCCCCCCATGCTTTGCTGTTGTTGTTGTTCTGGCATATTCCTCTAAATTCCCCTAGGGTCTGTAAGGAGTCCTAACTTGTCTTAGACTTGTTCAGAAGTTCCGGTATGGATTTACTTAAAATTACTTATATGGGAAAATGTGCAAATCCGAACAACCAATTTTATCACAAACTTCTGAAATATAATATTTTATACTACCTTTCATGTATTATGTATGTGTCAAATATTTCCAAACCAAAGCCTACAACAAAAATTATTAAGCTATATTAGAAAAAAAAAAATCCTTCCTTTTTAAAAGACAAGAACTAATTAAAACCAACTTAACATAAATTTCTGTTATTTGCTGTGAACCTGACTTCTGTAAGCCTAAAAACACCTGCGGTATTTTTAATAACTGTATTAAGATCTGGTTCCATCATGTTGTCCCATCACAGAATAACACAATGCTATCATGCAAATCACCTGTGTAGCTTCCACATTTATTGCATAGCCTCGCTCAACTGAACAGATGAATGGGATGAAAGATTGTTTATTGCTCTCCCGCCACCGTTCCCCCCACTCCACCACAACCACCCAACTACCCTTTACTCCTTCCCTTGCAGTCTGAAGAAATAAAGAACCCAAGCAGCAGTAACTGATTTGGTCATTGTTTATATTCCCCCCTTTGGTGTATCAGGATTCTACAAGTTTCATCCCTACATGTATACTTAAGTCTGAAATACTTTCCTCTCCAACTTGCACATAAATTTTAGGGGGGAAAACTGACTATACTTATCACCTGCATGTACATAAATATGTAAAACAGGTTAAATGCTTGTGGATCTAGGTTATCTGTTCATTAAGATTCTCAGAGGCACTAAGATATTCTTCCCTTTCATCAAAATAACAAAGCCAGAAGAAAGAATTCTTAAAGCTGAACTATTTAGCAATAAACTCTCAAGAATGTAATAAGTTATTATTTCCGTAACTAAGCAAACACCTGAACGTCACAAATTCTTTCCTAGGACTGTAAAAACCCAAATTTGTAACAGTGTACTCTCAAACAGTAACTTAGCAAATGGAAATGTCCTAGAAAAATCTCAGTTGCTTATTTCTTACTATATACACAGCTGAAATGGAACTCAGGAGTGGAAAATGTGAATGAAATGGTCTGTTCTTTTTCCAATATGTGGGGGAGGAAAGGAAATGAAAGGGCTCCTTAAAAGAATAACTGAGAATACTGAAATATTTTCAAAAATTAATTTCCCTAAACTTTGCCACTCCACATCTCCACTCCCTCCCTTTTCCAGGGACCCTTCCCACCCTTTCCATCTCCTCCGGGGGGCGCCCTTCCCAGACATTCTCTTTCCCCTATTCCTAAAAATTAAGCCCAAACACCAAACCAAACTCCGGACTCTCTATTCTCAAGACTCGCCCGCCATCCACCGGCCTTCCAAACTGCGCCTGGAGAGAGGCAACCCCGAGAGGCAGGAGAAGCGGGGAGGCGACGCGGTGACTAGGGCTGCTGCTACAGCCGCCACTGCCGCCGCCTCCACTGCAGCCTCAGCCTGGTGCATCCTTCTTCCTCCCTCCCCGCCGCCGCCCTCCCGGGCTGGCCCACACAGCACCCTCGCCCGAGCGCTCACACTCGTCCCCACCCCTCCTCGCCAGGCCCACTGCCCCACGAGGGAACCTCTGCCGAGGGGGCTGCGGCCAGCGACAGAAGGAAGCGGAGCCACGGGCGCTGGCGGGCGCGGGAGGCGGCTGAGAGAAGACGAAGGGACGGAAAGAAGCAAGGGCAGGGCTGAGACCACCCCGCTCAGGCTGCCCGGGCCGCGGAGGCCGCGGTTCTCCACCCCGAGGCCGGGGCCGGTCCGCCGCGGCACAGGAAATGCCGCCGCCTCGGCTCTCCTCACTTTCAATTCAAACTGTCACCGCCGCTGCCTCCCCTCCCCCCGGGCCCGCGGCCGCCGCGCCCCGGGCCCGCCGTCGCCCCCACCCCGGATCCCCTCGCCGCTGCCTCCGCCTCGCCTCAGGGCGTTCCCCGGCTCGGTCCAGCGGCCGCAAAGGTACCCGGAATTCGGAGCCGCTGACCCCAAGTCCCGGCGGCCCGAAGCTGAGACTCACCCATGGTGCTGCTGTTGACGCTCCTCTCCTCAGCAGCAGCGGATCTCGCACTGACCGACATCCCCTCCCCCCCTGCGCGACCAGCCCAGGCGCGGCGCGGCGCAGCGCAGCGCAACCCGCCGATTCTCCAAAGGCGCCTACGCCGATTCCGCGGCGTAGCCGCCGGGCGTCGCTGCCCTGCTTACGCAAGCTACAGCAGGCTGACTCCACTGGCTCTCACCCGACTCCCGCTCCCTCCTCCATCCACCGCCCCCTCGGCCGAGGCTTCCGGGCCGAGCGGAGGCTGGATTCCATCTCGCGAGATTACCTCCTCCCTAGCCCCGCCGCCTCGCTCCGTTTCGAGCATGACTTCATTAGCGTCAGCAACGTTTTACTGTTCGGGTTTAGCCGCCATGTTTAAATTGGCCGGATTTTGCACCACTGAGGCCATGGATACTCGGGCCTCTCTGCGTGTTTCTTCAACACTGCCTCTAAGGTTAACTGCGTTACATTTGTTGGAGAAAATACTGGGGACGCTGCAAAGGAGTGGTCGGTGGGGTGCGAGGGTGGGGTCTTGCCCGAATTAAAGATGGCCGCTGTCATTTCGGCCCCGCGCTATTTCACGTCAAGTTTCGGAGCTGCGGGAGCCGCCGGGTGGGCCTCAGCGCCTCCTTACGGAATTGGCGTAAGGCAAAGAGGCGCGGCAGTAAGAAACAGACTGAGAAAGTGCCTCAGGGCGGGGGCCGCATCCGCCCCTCGGCTTCTAGCTACTGACCCGACGGCTTTGTGAGTGAAAGTGGACACTTCGAGGCAGGTGTCTGTGCCCCCATCCATCCGCGTTTCCTCTGCTTCCTTGACTTTCGGGGTGAAAAGTGAGGTTAGGCCCTGTTGCCCCCACCCTTCCCTCGCGCTGTCACGCTCTGGTGGCCTGGCACACAGCCAAGAAGTCGGCCGCTGAAGCCCCCACTGCGGACTGTGCCGCCACTTTCGTGTTGGCTCACCTTGTTGGTGCTCGGTTCGGTCTTCTTGGAGCTCACACTCCAGTTGAGGAAATGAATGGACACAGGAAACAACAACTAAAAGAGTAATAAAGGGCTAGGATTGTTTGATCTTCTGTGGCGATGAATGTTGCTCTGTCATTGGAACCTTCCCCAAGTGCCTTCTAGTGAAAGCCTTGCTTCGCTCGGAATAACGTATGGTCTTTTGTACATTTCTTGAACCTAATGGCTCTCCTGGTTGTATTCTTCACACACGTGTTATTTTTCCTGTTTAACTTCATGTTAAAGAAATGTGTACCTGTTTAACTGCATGTTAAAAATGTGTATGTGTATTTAAGTTATGAGCACCTGCAAGAAAGTTCAGAGCAGCATGCTTATTTTAGTGAAACAATAAATGTCTACCAATAGGAGAATGGATGAATAACTGTCTTGTTGAACAAATTGACATACACAACACTAAAAATGAAAATCAGTGAACTAAAGCTACCATTTTTCATATGGGTAGGGTCATTAACATAATATTGAGGAAGAAAGGCAAGTTGCGGAAAGACGTATATGCCATACCATAAATAAAAGTTTAATAATTTAAAAAAACTAAGAACAAACAAAATCCTATAAGGAAATCATAGATATAAAATTCAGAATAATGGTTACTTCCAGAGAGGAAGAGAAGGGAATGTAACAGGAAGGGTTCATTTGTATCTGTGATGTTTCTTTTCTACCGGAAGTATTTTCAAAATGTGGCAAAACATTAAGCTAAATAGAGGGCACATGGGTGTTCACTTGTAATTATTTCCTTTATTGTTGTATGTACTTGAAATATTTCCAACTAATTTTTTTAAGAAAGGAAACTTACAGAAGCAACTTATTTTGTATCTTGATACGTGCCATTTCATGCGCCTACATTTTTATTGAACTGCTCATAAAGTCTGTTGCAACTCATCTGCACAACCAATCGTTGTTTTAAGTTTCTGAAACTGTAAATGAACGTTTTACTTTAGGAAATTTTGTTAAATTTCTAGTTTTGAAAAAAGCAGTGTAGCAGGAAGGGTAAATGTATAGCCTCTGGAGTCAGACTGCCTGAGTTCAAATCCCAACTCTACATTTATTAGGTTTGCAACCAAGGACAAGTTACTTACACTTTTCTGTGATCCAGTTTCCTCATCTGTAAACGGAGATAATACTTATCTAACAGGGTTTTGGTAAGAGTTAAATAGACTAATACATGAACACAGTGCTTAGACAATGCTTAATAAATATTACCTAAATATAGATTATTTTAAAATACAAAATTAAAGCAAATACGTTTATTAATATACTCTAATCTTGGAAAGGAAGTAAATCTTTGCCTCCTATCTCTACTGATAATATTTCTTTGAGGAAGATCTTTTAATGGGTACGAAAGAGGTGAATTGTGTTATTTTGTGCTAAGAAAATGGATAAATTCTTAATATAAATAAATTCCTTGCCTGAGGTTTGTTCATGTTCTCATACTGACTTCACCCCACACTATTAAAGCTTCACTACTTTTCATTGAAAATTACATGGAGTGTTACAGGCAATGAAATAATGATATCCTGAGGAACTTTCTTTGGAGGGAGGTTTAATAGCCAATGTTCTGTAGTATATATACCTGTATATACGTGTGTGTTATGCAAATTATACGTGGAGCATGAGGAAAGAATTGTATTGATTTTAAGATCTCTCTATTGCACTTTTTACTGTATTATAGTTGTTAATAAAATATAGCCTAGACTTGAACCTACTGACTTAGAAACAGGTTTTAAAAAAACTGATCTGAAGTTCTGGACAGATCATGTAGATGGTTTCTACCACGTATTTACAGTGTGCAAACTCCAGGAGGCCTTCAACTTTACCAAGCCATGCTTATGTTCCTAGTTGGCTCTCTCTTATTTACCACAACAGCCACTTCTGATTTTCTCCTTATTTTTCAAACCACCCTCCTCACTTATTCTCAAATAAGAGAATAGAAAAAAATAGAAACCATCAAAGAGGAACTCGGGCTGGGTGTGATGGGTCATGCCTGTAAACCAGCACTTTGGAAGGCTGAGGCAGGCACATCACCTGAGGTCAGGAGTTCGAGACCAGTCTGGCCAACATGGTAAAACCCCATCTGTACTAAAAAAGTACAAAATTAGCTGTGTGGTGGTGGGCGCCTAAAATCCCAGCTACTGGGGAGGCTGAGGCAAGAGAATTGCTTCAACCTGGGAGGTGGAAGTTGCCGTGGGCCAAGATCACGCCACTATACTCCAGCCTGGGCGACAGAGCGAGACTCCGTCTTAAAAAAAAAAAAAAAAAGGAACTCCAATATCTTTATTTTATGCCTCCACACTCATAGGCCTACTCACATCCACACCCATTCTTTCAGGTGTCACAAAAGATTAGGTGCCCACCTGTCTGAGACACATATCTCTGTCAATTCCCTGTATTCCATCTCTTTGTGCTTGTTCTCTAGGTTCTCTCTCCTGCCTTCCCAGGAACTGTAGTGAATGGGTTCTTTATTCAACAAGCCTCTGGATTCTGCAACTACCACTCCACTGAAATTCTCAACAAGGTCACCAAGAACCTCTGTGTTCAATCCAGTAGACCCTTTGTCTTGTTTTCTTTGACCTCTGCAGCATTTGATACTAGAACCCTTGGCCTTCTGCATTCATAGCTTTTGATTTGTGAAACCACACTTTCCTAGTTTTCCTCCTAGATCTCTGTATATTTTACCTTTTAGGACCCCCTTCTGGCTGTCAAATATCCATGAACCTCAAAGTTGTGTGCAGTGGGTTTCTATCTCACATTTTGTAGTTGTTGTTGTTGTTTTGTTTTTGACAGAGTCTCACTCTTGCCCAAGCTGGGGTGCAGTGGCACGATCTCAGCTCACAGCAACCTCCGCCTGCTGGGCTCAAGCAATTCTCCTACCTCAGCCTCCCAAGTAGCTGGGATTACAGGAACTCACCACCACACCCACCTAAGTTTTATATTTTTAGTAGAGACGGGGTTTCACCATGCTAGTGAGGCTGGTCTTGAACTCCTATCCCCCCCGCCTCTGCCTCCCAAAGTGCTGGGATTACAGGCGTGAGCCACCGTGCCTGGCCCTATCTTTTTACATTCTCCTTTATGTGGTCTCATTCACCTCCATGGCTTCAGCCACCTAATATATCCACGGTAACTCCTAATGCAAATTTCTAGTCCAGTTCTCTCTTCTGGCTACAAATCTACATATCTTACTGCCTTCAAAATATCTGTCCTGAATGTTCCAAAACATCTAAAAAAAATTCCAGACTAAACGATTTTACCAGCTTTTATGTTTCTAATCTCTAAATGGTATTGTCAACCCAGTTTTGTAAAACAGAAATTTGGGTATTATACTCAGCCCTTTTCTCTCTCTTACCTCCTACAGCCATTAGAAAGCTCTGTAAGTTTTTCCTTCTCAACTCTCCCTAATTTTCCATTTCTCTCCACTTCATTACTATTCTAGTTAAGCCAATATTATCTCCTGCCTCAACTCCTTGCAGTAGCTTTTCTGACTGGTGCCTTGTTATACTGCAACTCCTTCACATTGTACCCAGAGTGACCTTTGTTTGTTTTTTTTGTTTGTTTTTTTGTTTTGTTTTGTTTTGTTTTTTTGAGATGGAGACTTGCCCTGGCCAGGCTGGAGTGCAGTGGCGCAATCTCGGCTCATGGCAACCTCCGCCTCCAAGGTTCAAGCGATTCTTCTGCCTCAGCCTCCTGAGTAGCTGGGTGCGTGCCACTGTGCCTGGCTAATTTTTTTGTATTTTAGTAGACAGGCTTTCACCATGTTGGCCAGGATGGTCTTATCTCCTGACCTGGTGATCTGCCTGCCTCGGCCTCCCAAAGTGCTGGGATTACAGGCATGAGCCACCGTGCCCAGCCCCAGAGTGACCTTTCTAAACTTTAACTGTGTCAGTCCCCTGTTTAAAGTCTTAAAATTTTCCCTGAGGAAATTTGCATGACACATTCCCTCACTTCTGGATAATCTTCTATATCTTACTCGCTCTAAATTCTAGTAAGCCTTGCTGCTCCACTTCACTTTCCTTTTTACACTTGCATTCCTTACCTGGTTTTCCTTTAGCTCTCATTTTCTCTAAAAGCCTTCCTTGATCACCAAAGACTAGGCTAGGTACTCTCTCAACTCCCACAGTATCTTGTGTTTACTCCTGTGGTGGTACTACCAGCAGAGTTTTGTAAATACCTGTCTCTCTTCCACTTAAGAGAGACAAGTCTAAGTCTAAACTCCTTAAAGTCAGGATCTCTTGTCTTGTCCACCTCTGTAGCCTCGGCACCTAGCCCAGGATATGATATTCATTACTTTATTCAACAACTGCTTCTTGAGTGG